TAATTATTTTCTGTTATTCTTAAATCATCGTAATATTTGGCGTACGCGTATAGTCTTCCTATCTGGGTGACATTCTTAGCGAGTCGAAGAAAATATTTCATTGATAGAATTGATAGAATTTTCAGTTTATCGCGGCTTCATTCACGGTTAAATACCGACAAGAGGCGCATTGCAAATACATTCTTGTAGCCCTTAGGGCAAGCATGAATAACGTACGCCATGCGGCTGGGTGTACGTACCCCTAGTGAAAAAATCCTACAGGATTTGTACCAAAATCCTGTACGTCCCTACAGGGTCGTGCAGGGTTGCTGGAGTAGTCGTACAGGATTTCATGCAGGCAACTATGGCTGTACATGGAATCCTACAGGGTGCCCTGCACGACATCCAACAGGGGACCCTGTACTGAATCCTACAAGGAGCCCTGTACGGTATCTGATTGGGAGCCCTATAGGGAATCCTACAGGGCCCTGTAGGGAATCCTTCAGGGATCCCTGTATACAATGATACAGGGAGCCCTGTGCGCAGCCATACAGGGAGCCCTGTGCGCAGTCATACAGGGAGCCCTGTACGCAGTCATACAGGGAGCCCTGTACGCAGTCTATACAGGAAGCCATGTACGCACCCATGTGAAAAAGTCTTATAAGATTTTACCAGAATCTTCACTATTTTGCATGATCTTATAAGATTTTGAAGACAGTCTTGCAAGGCCTAACACAGCTTGTACAAGATTGGCCAACATCATACAGAGCTTATAAGAATCTGGCATAGGCAGATTCTCGCGAGAATGCTGATTCTGGTAAGATTGAAGAATCTTACAAGAATGTGCTGATCCCATGGAAGGCTACTCCCGCTAATCGTTTTTCGCATAAATCATAATTAAAGAGCTCGCTTAACTCTCAAGCAAATGCGATCATTTGCTCCACACGGACTACGTGGAGAACAGTTGTAAACGATGCACCTGTCAAGTAAAGTATGAGATTGAGGACTGAGGAGTACCTACCTACCTAGGGAGAAATGCCTCGCCCCGGTGCGTTGATATGTTGGACAATGGACATTTTTCTCAAACTGCAACCTACCGGGATTTATTCATCTCCTCAGGACGGTACTGCTCATTATTAGAACTGGCGGGGACATAAACATTCGAATGTTGTTGTCAACATTGTCCCGATATATAGGGAATTACGAATTGTGAATTGATCCCTATAAAAGAATCGATTCACTTCATAACTCCCTAATCCTTTCATAACATTATCATCTTAATTTGACGCGTCGCTGTACTGTATTATTCGGGGACTAAAGTGTGCATTTGTGCGCTGTGGTGATCTTTCAGAGACTGTACCGACTGGAATTTAGCGACCACTGTCCGTTTTAGAGACCGTACGGTCGGCGGCGGGCGTCCCGATCCTCGCCTGGGGCGGAGAGGGGAGCGCGCGTCCCCCTCCGCCGCATTCCGTCCGTCCCATTCACTGCCCGCTCGCGATGTGCGGAGAGCCGACGGGAGTGTCGAGTGTGTGCCGTGCGGTGTCATCTGCCGTCTCCTCTTCCGACCTGAAGGTAAGTTTCTGCCATGCTGTATTGATGTGTAACAATAAAAAATATTTTACTTTCGACGGCAGGGGTCCCTTCAATCAATATGTTATCATTGTAACATGTGAATATCCACCTTGTTACAGGAACGCAGGATGCGAGGATCGTCGGGCGACACCACCACTCGAGATTCGTAGATCGATGGACGGAGCGGCAGCCGCGACGCGACGACGTGTGTCGTAATGTGACGGGATGTGACCCGGAAATGGCTGTGTATTTATCCCAGAAATACATTTATTCCGAATATTGACTTTGTCGGTAACACGGGAACTCGTGGGTCTTTTTAGCATTCCTGGTCAACCGGCTCAAGATGCCCGAGTCGGAGATGCCCGAGTCGGAGGTGTGCTGAGCCGCTGTTTTCAACAGCGGCTCAGCACAATAACAAGATGCGGAATACTTATAGAATGGCGAGTGTGGTGCCCTGTACGAGATCCTTTACGATACCCTGTACGACACCGTGCACGGTACCCTGTACGACGCCGTGAACGGTATCCTGTACGAAACCGTGCACGGTACCCTGTACGAAACCATGCACGGTATCCTCTACGACACCGTGCACGGTACCCTGTACGGCACCGTGCACGGCACCCTGTACGACACCGTGCACGGCACCCTGTACGACACCGTGCACGGCACCGTGTACGGCACCCTGTACGACACCGTGTACGACACCGTGTACGGTACCCTGTACGACACCGTGCACGGTACCATGCACGACATCGTGCACGGTACCCTGTACGACACCCTGTAGGAACCCTGGTAACAATTTCGTCAAAAATCCTGTAGGGTCAACCATACAGGGCTACCCTGTAAGATTTTTTCACTAGGGCGTGTTGGCAGGAAGCACCGCGTACCAACCCCTACGGACCGCGACTGACCGGTCTCGGGTCAGGTAGCGCCTCAGGCAACGGCCAGCCGAGGCGGAGCTTAGCTCCAACGTCACACTATGGCTCCGCCCCTTGTGGAGTAGCCTCTGCTCACCGAGAGAGTTTCAGGAGCAAAATTTAACATTACGAGTGAACGGGAAGTGCCCTAAATATTGATCGGACATTGAAAAACCTCAGTAATAAAAATTAGGACGGGGTCTGAAACGTCCATTGCCGAAGTTTCGTTCTTGAGAGACAACGCATTCAAAAGTTATTGCGAAAAAGTCGCGTCCCACGCGGTTTGACGTCCACGTTCCGCATCACACTAATCGGTACACTATCTGACACACCAGGCCTGCCCCGCTTCGGTCCCGGGTATGAGCGCGGATTCTGCGCTCAAGCAATACATAGTACATAGTCCATTTCAACAATTTTGGAAACTGCCAACGGCTAACTCGGGAACCAATAGAGCTACAGCGCCGCGGAAAAGCGCATTCGATAGCCCTTTTACAGACCTTTCTAAGTAATGTTTTCCGATTTGACCTCAGGTCAACGTTTTAACCTCCAGAGGGCAAAAACTGTAAAAATAGCAGTTTTCACGAAAATGGTTTTTCGTCAATAACTTTTGACTCAAGAAAGCCACGACATTACTTTTGGTAGCAACGTGTTCCTGTCGTCGAGACGCGTCGAATGAACTTTTTTTTTAACCTTGAAAGATCATTTTGAAAGTTTGACCTCAGGTCAAGGTCGTGACCTGACCGGAAGGGGTCATGTTGCATATCAGTCGATCTGAATCCATCTGACCTGTTTTTATCGCTCTAGCACGTCTTTATCAAAAGTTGTAGCCAAAAAACTGCTGGTGACCGTTTATGACCTAAGATGACCTCAGGGGCACATAGAGGGGTCACAGGTGCCTTTTTCCGATTCAGTGTGTCATGTTTACCTATGAACCGATGCTTGAGAGGGTTTTGAACATCATTCGTCCAAAAGAGGCGCATTTCAATTTTCTCCCATTGACTAATAATGGAGAGGTCGCAAAATTGACCTGACCTTAGGTCACCGATATCAAAATTCCGAGAGATACATTTTGTACATACTGTTACTCTTATCAATCGCTGAAAGTTTCAAGGCGATCGTTCAGTCGGTGTAGCTGTGACGAGGATTGAAACTTTTTCTGAGGTTAGGTCACTTGACCTGACCTGCAGTAACCTAACCTTGAGAGCCCTGGGCCTGAAATTTTCACATGTGTAGAAAAGATGCATGAACAGCTGTGCCAAAAACGGCGGCGCAGATATCTTCAAAAACCGCAGGGTGGGGTGTTCAAACACCCGCCCCCCCCCCCCCCCCCCGGCCCGGCGCGGGTTAATCAACTCCCAGCGTGAAACATCAAACATCCCTTACCTACTGTGTGCAGGACACGAAAATAAATTCAGCGCTCCGTATCGTATCACCACGCCTCCCCTCACCCCACCACCCCACCCCCATGAACACCACCAGAGGCTTAGCGCCAACATTCTAACCCGTCCCATGGACAAGACTCGTAGTTGCGGCAGGTGTATCTTTCTCCCCCTACCCCTTCCACACATCAAGCAGCATCTGACTGTCCATCCGGCGCTCGGCGCATCCTTTCAACAACCGTGCGATGACACCGGGCGACGGGCGTCTCTGGCGCACGGGCGGGGTCAAAGTTCAGGTGTCGCGTACCCTGTCGGCCTGGTTTTGTTCTCCGCCGCCTTCGTTTAAAGCAGGTGCCTATGCACTTATGTTAGTACTTCCTTGATAGAAATTAATAGGTACATTGTTATGTTTTGTTTAACCCACAGAAAGCACGAATATGAAATCACGCTCATCGCTCGCGATTGCGAAAGGAATATTCGGCCATAAAGGAGAGAGTGGAGGGCCGGAGGCATGCGCCATGCACATTGCTCAAGTTCAGACAGTGAGACATGAACAGTAAACACCTTTAAAAGCGTTTGACTTAATGGCAATGCTCGAGAAGTTTCTGTCTGCTTCCAAATAACCGCCGAAATTGAATGAATATCGCCGAATTTGGTTGCTGCTGTTCTAAATATCGTGCGGCCGTCTCCAATTTCCAGCGGCATCGCCGAAATACAATGCGGACACGCCGAAACCGGGCGTCTTTTGCTGCTGCGCCGAAACTAAATGCTCTAATGCCGATCACCGCTATAAACGGCCGACATGCAATACTATACTGATACATAGCTTTGCGGTATGTCTACAAAGAATCCGCTAGGTCTAAAATGGACGCGTACGTACCGAAATAAACTGACAAAAGGTGTAGAGCGTAGTATATTGCGACATTTTCATGTCAATTGCCTGTTTTTTTTCATATTGCGCTATTTTTCATCGAAATACGTGCTCTTGATGGCTTTAGTTCTCTTGCGTGATCGATATGGGTGCTCTAGGTGCTAGCGCCCGGCAATATGACCGCGGCTGGCGCATAACGAAAACGTTGGATTACATAAGTCTACGTGAAACCACAAGTGCTTACTCCATCATTCGGCACTCCGAAATAAAACTTACATATTCCAACACAATAGTCTTGTATTGGCAATACCATAAGGATAGTATGTATTTCACGAATACATATGATAATCTTTCAGCGCCTTCTGTGCACAACAGGCCTACAAAATACATATATATTATTGCCTACACTTATTCATTATCACCTTGCGCTTTCAGACGCACTTAATGACATAGGTATATGTTTCGCACGCGAAGAAGGGGTTATTCAATAATCTGTGTGGCGCGTTTCGTTTAAAACTGACGCCATGGTACTTTCTGCCTGTGCTGAAGCAGTTCACAACTTTACTAGTGATACGAATTTCTAACAGGTCCTTGCTGTTGTCCACCACTGAACTTAGCATAACCTCTCGATACCTAATTCCCTCTTCCTTTCACTCTCGTCTGTTTCTCACGTTCGCCCACTCACGCACTCACACTCTTTCTCGCCCTCCTCCCCCACCCAGTTCCCCAGTTGAGACGCAGCTCTGCAGCCACAGACCACCATTCGTCCATGGTGACTCGCCGTCGGAGAGGGCCACCGGCGGTCTGCAGGGCGACGGTACGCCGCCCAGATCAGGTCAACTCGGCAGCTCCCCGGCCCAAGTCCGGTGCGCACACGGGATCGATCCGGGACCGCCTTCACCCGTCCATCGGCGCGCGGCCTAGTTCTTCAGAGGGTCGAGGTCGTCCAGAGAGAAGTCGTCGTTGCCAATGGACAGACCTCGGCTGAAGCCGTCCTAGAAAACATCAGTCACGTCAGTACTGCAGCATCGTCTCCCAAGTTTAGTGGCGAGCAACTTGATGGCAGATGCCACACTCTTGTTATCGAAATTATTGAATATATTATGAATTAAGCAGGAAAATTGTTGAAGTCATGAAAGACAGCAAGGCTAAGGTCATGGACATGGATACAGGATTGATGTCTTCGCAGTTTTAGGCGACATTGAGCTCAGGCGTGCCATCTAGCCGGAGAATTATCGTAAGTTAGGAGCAAGCCGAGTGAACGCCGTTGCTTCAAGCATTGTGACACACGTGAGTGTGGTGTAGTAGCAGGCTTGTTGTGCAATTAAAAAAAAAAAAACGTTGTCTTCATATGTCAGTAAAAGCGAAGAAATCCATAAATTTATATGCAGAGTCAATAATAAGATAAACGGTTCCCTATTATTTCCTCATTAAATCGCGAAACAGGGAGTTATTGGAGATTTCGCCAGTACGTGTCATTTTCGCTATTTCTCACATGTCTTTACTTGGCCTATAAATCAAACAAATTATCCGATGAACGAACAAAACGAACGTAAGTACCGTAGTTTCGTGCAACTTTGGCCCACTTTTTTGGTTAAGCCTCAATAATTCAGTCAGCTGTTTATGAACAATGTTAAGCAACAGGGCCTAGATAGAGGCGACCCTCGGCTTTTCAAAAATGACAACTTCGTGTGTACTGCAACACTGCATACATTTTTTTTAATGCAAGTGACCAATGTTGTATGCTAGTATGGCAACATTGGCCCAGCAAAAATATTCATTAAAAATTTATGGTTTACGCCTTTTTTTGCTCACTTTTGCAAAGCGTATGACAATATTAGCTACCTTAGCGAGATTAAAAAAAAAAACACCCAAAAGGCAGCGCGTATTTAAACCACACTAGGCCAAGTTTCCAACACTACCTTGACCTCTACACAAAAAAACATTCTGGTAGAATCCAAGCACAAAACCCTAAAAACGCGCTGACATCAGTACCTGCTACTCGGCACTCAGTGCTGTCAGTACCTACTACACCTTTTTGCACTCAAAATAGGCATCTTTTCATTCAATTTCGGCGAATTGCAATCAATTTTAGCGATCTCTCATTTGCTTCGAATAGAGAGATCGCTAAAATTGAATGCAATTCGCCGAAATTGAATGAAAAGATGCCTATTTTGAGTGCAAAAAGGTGTAGTATGTCAGTACTGCTTCTCAAATCGGGACCCGACAGGCATAAACCTCGAGACGGGGCGAAGCGCATTTCGTTTTTGCGATCAAAGGAAGGCGCTGTACGGATAACCCTCGCCCGTATTGGTGTTTTTCCAGCCGCAAACGTATAAGGGGGGGGGGGGGGTCTTGCCGTTTCGCCCCTGATCGAGCTAGAGCTTCGCGGAAAACGAGCGTGTTGCCCGTGACGAGAGGAATCCGATGATACCCAATTTTACGGTCCTAGGTCATTGGTTGACCTTCCAGGTCAAACAAAGGGTCTCCTGTTGAGGATCAATCAACTGCTGGAACAGAAGGGCAGGAACATCACGCATCTCCTTTGACCTTTTATCGTTTTCCTAACGACTCACCAATGTAAGTACTTATCAATGCAGTGCGAGCATCGATGTGACATTTGTGTACCAAGTTTGAGTTTTACCCGCCCAGCCGTTGTTGAGATATGGAAGCTGCACCCCGCACGTGCGCACGTGCAGTAGCACTCCCATGGTGTCACATGGAAATGCAGTGGCCACTGGGTGCCTAACTATTGACGAAGTTTTGCCGTAATGGGCCCAGCCATTGCGGAGTTATTTTATGTGGAACAATTTCGACACCCTTAAGTTGGCACATTAAGTAAGATGTAGAGAATGGGGCGAAATTCGGAGAAGAAGGAATAAGCCTACCAAATATGTATGACATTAGGGTGACCGGTTTTGCAAAAAGTTTCGAAAAGTTTTGCTCCCCAGGTCCAATCTAACGTATTTGGGGGTGCTGATCACGAATCCGGCGGAAAAAATATAAAATTCGATTTTTTTTTTGACCGCCCCGGCTCTTTGAATATTTCCGGTTTTCTCAATTTTTGCATGTTTTTGAATAATATGATGAATGTAATGAAAAAATTTTAACAATGTATCGCTAAATGCATGTACCAGTCGATTCGGCATACAGCGGCGTCGAAATCGGCACGCCGCCTGCTTCACCGGCCTCGCAGGAAAGCATAAGGCTCGGAAGGTTTGCGTTAGTTACCCGATTCTCTCCATAGATGGCGCTGGCGTAGCCGCCCGCCGGCCGGTCGTTGCCGTGCCGTTCACAGCCCCGGCGGTCACTTGCGACCGTCGTGGTCGTTATGCTACGTCTATCAAAGCACGACAGAAATGCTCACTTCATTTTTATGTTACTTCAGACACATTTTAGACCTAATGTTGAATTGGATAAATGACTATCGTGCATTGGCGAAATAGTGGAGTGCGCTCGGGAGCCATTTACAATAGCGAGGAACGTAGGTGGATTGATCTGAATAACACATGACACTGCGTTCACTGTTGATATTAAGTTTATTCACACTATGTAGTCGGGTGACATGAGAACAAAGTGACTAACATACCTTGTGTACGACACATGGATGAAGCTAATGCTACTTTTTCATTTTGTTTCGGTAGGCCCGTTTGTTCAGAGCGTAGCCGTCCTGTCGGTCTGCGCCTGTTACAGCTGTGACTGATTCGGTGGTCAGCTTTACAGCCCTTTCGGTGGATTGGGTATGGCAGGGGACCCCCGTTTTAAGGGGAGTCTGTAGAAAGTCGCGCAACTCATCCTCGCTCATGTGTCGTACACAAGGGGGCTCAATGTCTCGGCCCTCGTCAACCGCTCGCTGCACGTTAACCAGTTCCATATAGTTGTTCGCTTGAACGTTAATTTCCGGCAGCCGGAAGTGCCGAATGGGCTGCTGCTGTGGCGGTGGGGGTGGCAGCTTTGGCGGCGGTCGTGGCGGCGGTGCCGGCGGTGGTGGCGGTGGTGGTGGTGGTGGTGATGGCCGCCGCCGTTTCAGACGCCGCTGCTGCTGTTGTGGCGTCGGCGGCGGGGCGGCGCCGGTATTACATGTCGGTAGAGCAGCCCTCTGACGAGCTGTGCCTGCTGGCACGATACATAGTTTGTGTGTATGTGCCCGGTATAATTTGCATCAAACAGAAATCGGACGTGGTGTATGCACCCTCTCACGTGTGCCAGCAGCTGCGCCGCCAGCGGCTGAACTTCACTGGCGAGTCGCTGGCGTGCATGCAAAGTAGCGTCGAGAGGAATGCTTACATGGCTCATGAGGAAAATGTGCTGCTCGCCATGCTCGGCGATGAAAATCATGGCATTAGGGCAGATGCAGTCCGCATAATCCGGAGCATTCGTCAAAAAGGGCAGCGACAGGAGCAGCCGCCGTTCCCGCCCCCGCCACAGCAGAAGCAGCGGCGACAGAGGCGGCGGCCATCGCCACCACCACCACCGCCACCACCACCACCGCCACCGCCCCCGCCGCCGACGCCACAACAGCAGCAGCGGCGTCTGAAACGGCGGCGGCCACCACCAACACCGCCGGCACCGCCGCCACGACCGCCGCCAAAGCTGCCACCCCCACCGCCACAGCAGCAGCCCATTCGGCACTTCCGGCTGCCGGAAATTAACGTTCAAGCGAACAACTATATGGAACTGGTTAACGTGCAGCGAGCGGTTGACGAGGGCCGAGACATTGAGCCCCCTTGTGTACGGCACATGAGCGAGGATGAGTTGCGCGACTTTCTACAGACTCCCCTTAAAACGGGGGTCCCCTGCCATACCCAATCCACCGAAAGGGCTGTAAAGCTGACCACCGAATCAGTCACAGCTGTAACAGGCGCAGACCGACAGGACGGCTACGCTCTGAACAAACGGGCCTACCGAAACAAAATGAAAAAGTAGCATTAGCTTCATCCATGTGTCGCACACAAGGTATGTTAGTCACTTTGTTCTCATGTCACCCGACTACATAGTGTGAATAAACTTCATATCAACAGTGAACGCAGTGTCATGTGTTACTCAGATCAATCCACCTACGTTCCTCGCTATTGTAAATGGTTCCCGAGCGCACTTCACTATTTCGCCAATGCACGATAGTCATTTATCCAATTCAACATTAGGTCTAAAATGTGTCTGAAGTAACATAAAAATGAAGTGAGCATTTCTGTCGTGCTTTGATAGACGTAGCATAACGACCACGACGGTCGCAAGTGACCGCCGGGGCTGTGAACGGCACGGCAACGACCGGCCGGCGGGCGGCTACGCCAGCGCCATCTATGGAGAGAGTCGGGTAACTAACGCAAACCTTCCGAGCCTTATGCTTTCCTGCGAGGCCGGTGAAGCAGGCGGCGTGCCGATTTCGACGCCGCTGTATGCCGAATCGACTGGTACATGCATTTAGCGATACATTGTTAAATTTTTTTCATTACATTCATCATATTATTCAAAAACATGCAAAAATTGAGAAAACCGGAAATATTCAAAGAGCCGGGGCGGTCAAAAAAAATTCGAATTTTATATTTTTCCGCCGGATTCGTGATCAGCACCCTCAAATACGTTAGATTAGACCTGGGGAGCAAAACTTTTCGAAACTTTTTGCAAAACCGGTCACCCTAGTATGACATACTGTCAAATTGCTGTGCCATTGTGAGTAAATGACCATATAAATGGTCGTACAAGCCGATGGGACTGGGCGGTTCAATACACACCGTCTTACGTATTTTATTTTCGTCATTACCTAAAGGCTGCTTAACGTTTTTGGCTTTCAAGCATTTAAGACATTTTTTGTCGTCTCAGGCCCAGTAACATTACCTCCAACTCGTGGGAACCTGCACTTCAAGCCAAAAAACACACCACACCCACGTGTGTCATAATGCTGAGCGATGACGTTCACTCGGCTTGCTCTTATCTAACGATAATTTTCCCGCCAGGTGGCAGGCCTGATCCCAATGTCGCGGATCACAATGTAAATTTCCACGAGACACCAATCCAGTGTCATCTCATCCATGGCTAAGGTCATATACGACAAAGAAGATTCGGGCATTTTTCCATTAGGTGTAAGCGATTGGCAGCGCCACGTACCTTCATTTCGCTGAGCCGCCTGTCCAGCAGACCGATGGCGTTCTCAATCTCCCCCGGCGAGCCCTGGAAGCTGCCCATGCCGAACGGGTCGTCAGAGCTCTGGTCCTGGTCCTGCTGCTGCTGCTGCTGCTGCTGCGGTGGCGGTGGTGGTGGTGGTTGGCTGATCGGGGCGGAAGGCGCGAACGGCTCTGCTCCGAACAGGTCCTTGGATTCGGTCGGCTGCGAGGGCCGCGGCGGTGGCGCTGGTGACGGACGGAACAGGGTCACTGATACATCGAGAGGGATGAAAACAGGTGTACGGAATGAAACGAAGACGATACTGAATGAAACGAGGCCGAGATAGAATGACAAGTTAATGCGGTAAAAAGTGCGGTAATAATTACGTGCGGTAGAAAGAAAAACATCTCATTATAACAAACAGCCACTTTACTTTAGTAGCGATACGAAATTCTAACAGGTCATTGCTGTTGTCCACCACTGAACTTAAAGGGACTATCCCACCTTTAACATGGGGTTTGAGTTGAGATAGCCAAGTTTGCGGAGAGGTTCAGAAACCACTATCTATCTAGGTTGCAACCCCCGCGGCCTCTTGGTGTTGAAGAAATTCGTTCCCTTCATTTGAAAATGGGCCTTGTACAAGGCCCTATCTTCAACATGGAGCGACCGTTAGTGTGACGTCACCTCGTTTAGTCATTCTGATTTAAATGGGTTTGTTCGTTGAAAAATCGCTTAAAACTTGGTCTGAACTTTGTTGAGGTGCCTACAGAGTAAAAAGAATCAGCTTTATGACAGTAATGTGGCCTGGGGAAGGAGGTAATTTTGGGCTGTGACGTCACATATTTGAAAGTTTGTGTTTGGAATATGGGAAGCCCAAGATGTTTAATGAAAAATAAATGCCAGAACCGTGTTCCTGGTCATCCAATCTATAAAGTTGGGCACAATTTAAATGGTTTTAACAACATTTTAGAAGGTGGGATAGTCCCTTTAACATAATCCCTCGATGCCGATACTTTAGCATAACTTACCATAAGATTGCATACTTAACCCTCGCCCGTATGGTGTTTTGCTAGCCGCGAACGTATAAAGGGGGGGGGGCGTATAACGGTCCATTGGACCCCTCTTGCCGTTTCGCCCCTGATCGAGCTAGAGCTTCGCGGAGAAAAACGAGCGTATTGCCCGACACGAGAGGAAGCCGATGATGCCCAATTTTAAGGTCCTAGGTCATTGGTTGACCTTCCAGGTCAGATAAGTGACCCGAATGTCGGGCAAATCGAGCCATATAATCAAGTAAAGTAACCGTACTCCCATAATTTAGGAAAGCTCCTCGGAATTATCAGGCCTTTTTCTTCCGAATTTTGGATACCTATTAATATGAGCGTACTGTTACTTTATTTGATTATATGTTTAAGCATGTTTCTCAAAAATGTGCTAACAACAATTCAGAGTAAAATGGAGCCCTGTTAGAACGTCGTAAAGTGTGGCTGCTTCGGGGGTTTTCGGGGTGCTGATCACGAAAATCATGCCAGGTTTGATCACAGATGATGTCTTCATGCATTTAGGCCAGGTTGGGTCAGGTCAGGTCAAGTCAACCAATAGGGGTCCTGCCGGGTATTCGTAGTAAGTGTCAACCGCCTCTGACAGCTTCGTATCATATTACGAAGGCACTAAAACTACTTTGTCAATGTTCAAATAGTTGCTAAATTCGAATTCAGCTTCAAAAACTAGCTTAGAAACATGTAAAACTCGAAAAAGTGAACCAAGGTCATCAAAGGTGGCAATGACGTGACCTGGCCTTCAGTTGACCTTGACACCCACCCTCATGCATGGGATCAACATCATAACAAATGTTTGAACGCTTGAAACCACGAAAAGACTGCAAATACGCGGCTAATGCGAGCCGACATACACCGAATCCCGATTCCGGCCAAACATGGCCTCGAAACGTAGGTCACAGGTCAAAGGTCATTTGAGTCAGGGTCATGAAATTTTCAAGGTAGGTTGAAAATTAATTCACGCGAGAGCACTAAAAGTTTAAAGTTTCGTCGCGATCGGCCGCTTTTTACGCGAGTTATTCGCGAAAAACCGAGGAGGTCCGTTCGACCCCCCCCCCCCCCCATTTCCCTATACGGGCGAGGGTTAAGCAACTACGCCAACTATTCTTGTACCATGGTGGCACCGCTCAAATACTAACCGATGGCTGGCGGAGGCAGGGAGATGTCCGTGGCGGGTGTTGGCTCGACCAGATCTTCAAACAGCAGGCCCTCCAATTTGGTCCCAACCGCAGGAGTCGTTTCGTCCGAATCCCTGTAAGCACAATACAAGTAAAATATAACTACATTGGCCTTTCCTTCGAGCAAATGGGATAAGATACAATAGTGAAATACATATTTTTAGCCTTTAGGAATACTTAAATCATGTTGAGCTTTACCACGCTTGTAAAATCGGTGTCACAATACAAAAAGCAAACAAACAAACGAACAGTTGGTAATATACTACTCCAATGTTGTTTCTGTCTGGGGGGGGGGGGTGCGCCAGCCGCCACTACGACGTGCAATGAAATGGCCCACAGCTTATGCCATGTAGTGTAACAGGCAACGGGAGGGCGGGCTTCATCGCAAAGATGCCTCCTCCCTTAAGCAGATCACCGACATCACTTCCGTGAGATGAAGGGTGAGATGGCGGATACATGTCCCAGTCCGGCGGAGGATTGAGGGAACCGCAGTACAAAGGCGGAGCCAAGAGACGGGCGCAACAAGAGGACGCGCCGGGAGCAGCTAGCTACCAGACTGAGTTATCTTGCAGCGCTGCATATGAATGGCGACCAGTTGCGGCATCTGCCACACAGCCCCGCAAAACGTTCAACAGATGTTCGCCGAGAAGCTCCTGACCCCATGCGAGGCAGGGGATTGGCGGAAGAGGTGGACTCAGCGCAGCGAGCGTTGATTCTCACTAAGTCATGCGAAGAGCGCGAGCTTCGAGCAACAATGGGCAAAATTTGCAACAGTACCTGTATTGAGCTGTTGGCAATCCGCGAAGCTCTCCAGATCGTACTGCATCTGGAAGGGAACTCGGCAGGGAGCCCGGTGGCTGCTCTCAGGAGACACTAGCCATCCTGGCACTAGGCAGGTGGCGCCCAGGGTCAGACCATGGCGCGGCCGTGTGGCGATCGCCTTGGCGATTTTATAAGGAAGACGAAATGTAAGTACACCCGCAGTGGGTCTATGAAGCTGTGGCCTATCCGGCAACGAGAGAGCGGACGAATTACTTGACGAAGGCCTCCAGCTACTCTAAACAACACTTCGACCGAAGTCCGGTCGATCTTTACCGTCGGCTCTCCCCGTTTTCCCTTGTGATAGGTAGCCCGACAGCTAACTAGGCACGGAAGCCGGTGCCTAGGCCGCCGTCACGCAGTCTTCGGATACCATGCCACCTAACACACGCCCGCAACAGTGCAAAGGCCTGACCTGCCCAGCGGCCCGCTGCCTGGCGTTTCAAGAGGGCCTCTACGCACCAGTGACCAGAGAACATCCTGTTCGGGTGCCCAAACGTGGCAGACGCAACAATCCGCCACTTGGGCAACGTAAAGGCGAAAACTGTGAAGGTGCGGAACGACGGCCACCTTCAGTAACTAGGATTCGTGGAATACGGTCGGAAGCAATAGCCCATCCTGGGTGACGAGCAACAACCTAATCATCACACCACATCGATGATAGCAAACTTTCGGATTGAGAGCAGAAGTGGATCGCCGTCATCTTCTAGTCCCTCCACATCTGCACAGCTACACCTCAGTAAGTTAGAGAGGAAAGCGGCCGCTCACCTCGCCCTGCCGGAGCTGTCGGCGTTGCGCGGCGGTACGGCGGGCGGGGCCGGCGAGCCGCTGCCGCTGCTGTTGCCGCTGCTGCTGCCGTCGCTGCTGCCCGTGCTGCTGCTGCTGGTGGTGGTGCCGCCGCCGCCCGCGTCAGGACCGTGGTCGCCATTCCGTGCAGGGCTGGCCGGAGACGCGTCCAGCAGACTCAGAATCTGGGGGACGGAAGGAAGCATTTGTTGGCTGTTACGGGAGAAAGGTATGGAATACAGTTGGCCCAATAGACATCAAGTGTCACGCATCAGCGTAATATTACTTTTTCTAGATACAGACAGGCAGCCAGGATATAATGTATAGACTTAGGCACTAAGTTTACGCTAATTTCGCAGACACCCAAAATGAACAAGTCGCAGCGAAAGAAGCAATTTGGAACAAGAACGAAAATTAAGCATTTAGTTACGAACTACGGTTAGAAAAGAAAATGCTTAAAATTATTTTGCTTTCAAGAAGTGTGTAACAATCTACCAGCTATAGCTCAGGACAGGGCGCTCGACAAAAGCGTAGCAAATTAACTGTTTAACTTATGAATATACGTCTGCAGATGGGACACCGATTAAAGGGAGATAATGAGCTTTCTTTTTTCTTAAATAAAAATTACTCGACATCTATACTATTTCTACTGTAGTTTCTATAAAATATGAAAATTTCCTAGCACATTTTCGTATGTGAAAAAGGTTTTTATTTTTGCAAAAAAAGAAGCAGTACTTGCAGTACGTGTAACACCCACCGAAATGCGTTGTCCTTCTCTATAAAAAAGTCGCAGTATATGGCGCTTTTGTTTCAAACAGCGACGCTTGGGTTTTTGTTTATGTTATCGCCTTGTCGTTGCTTGGTTGTAAGCATTCTAATTTGAATTAGAGTTAATTCGGTTTAGAATTAATTAGATTCCAATTCGGGGGTACATAGTGCCTACCCTTCTTTGTTTCCAAGCATTATTTTGCGCCACAAATGAACGGCAAGCGCCAGAAACGCAGCCAAATCTTGCGATTGCGACTACGAAATTCATTATTTTGGCCTCAGAGCCTGAAGCGAAAAATACAAGCATATTTATTTCAAAAAGACTTCAGGTTTGTCGAACGGTGTTATGAGAATTTTGATAACAGTACTGCATAAGTTTTTCAGTGATGCCGCAAAAGTGTTGTATCTATCTTCTTTTATTGTGCAGTCGGCGGGACCGATTCAAAATTGAGTCGTTGCTACTAAAATAGCAGCATATGGCGACAGATGATGAACAGGAAAAATAGTTGCGTAAATTTAGACATAAACCACCCCCAAACCATGAATATCTTTTGAAGGCACTATAGACGACCATTAACTAACTAGATGTGATGAAGATCAAATGTAATGAATACGCTCATTTTACAAAATTACATGCAAGTACCAAAAAGTGATGTAAGTACTTATTCAACGGTCATTTTCAGCGCTCCCCGCTAACGTGACTTCAAGTTGAGATATTTGCGGCAAGGTACCGAATTGAGCAAAATGGTTTTAATTTACATTATAACTTATTGTGTTTTGTCAGAAAATGGTCCTAACTCAGATTTTGTGGAAAAAGGTCATAATCTCCCTTTAAAAGCAAAATGCATGGAACTGACCAGATTTTGGCGGCAGTAGTTGTGGACGGCGGCGGGCGGTGCCAGTTCGGCCACGTCGCGCAGCCGGCGGCGCAGCTCATCGGCCTCCGCCTTGGCCAGCGCCAGCCGCTTCTGCAGCATCATCATCTGCTTGCGGTTCTCCAGGTCACGGCCCGACGAGTCCAGGAACTGACGGTAAGCCAGGTCGAACGCCTGCCCGATGGTTAGCGTGATCTCTTCCGCCTGCCGGTAAAAAGATAGATTTGACACTAGCCCAAACCACTGGACATTTGTCTCTAAGCATTGGTTCAGTACGCTGACCAGCGTCATTACGGGGGTTCCGTGATACCTGAGCGAGCGTCATTTTAGCGAACGACATTTGAGCGTAATATTTTCACCGATTATTAATTTGAGCGTTTGACCCTTTGAGCGATAGTCAATTCGGCGAATTCAATAACAGCGATGATCACCTAACGCGAGGACCAGAATCAGCGAAGCCGGCTTGAGTGAATATATTGCGGTCAATGGGAGACTAATTGAGCGAATACAGTAACGGCGAAACCGAGCCCAACAAAAATGATTATTTGACACTTCCAGAGAATTCTTGCCCTTGGAATACAAACCTCTAAACATGAACCCATCTAATACGTATCATGCTTCAGTCTGCGCGCGGTAAACAATAAAAAATGAAAAAAAAAACGATAAACTTTGGTCCTCACACCGCAACTTCAATACATTGGGCCTACACCGCATCATTTTCACAACTTTCCATTCATAATTCATGGCCCCAGATTTAAATCAACCAGAGGTAAAAATAAAATTGGAAACAAAGGAAACAGCTAGCGTGTGGACAAAGATTGCACCACTAAATGAATCATTTCAAAAACTTTGAGAAATTTAGCGTTAAATTTGCGACTCAATGCAGGTATTGTATTAGCTTCGAACATGACATCCACCATACTGTTCCAGATAATGAGAAATTTCGGCGGCACTTCGTGTGTCATTTATACGTATGACTCGCAAACGTAAAGAAATGCACCGTGACGACTGACGGGAGAATAGTGTTTCGCTCAACCAACATGACAACCGCTCAAATAGAAGGCGGCGAAATGGATGTCGACGAAACATAGTTTCCGCTCACATTGATAATCGCTATATTTGATAATCACTTAAATTGATAATCGCTGAAATGCCAATCACTGAAAATGGTTGGCTCGAATGACACTTGCACAAGTCACTCGCACCGTCATTCAGGAGTTGATGCGTCACTGGCAAAGAATCACATTTCATGAGGTTAACCCGTGCCGGGCCGGGGGGTGTTTGAACACCCCCCTGCGGTTTTTCGCAGATATCTAAAAAACGGCGGCGCTTTTTGGCACACCTGTTTGTGCATCTTTTCCGCACATGTGAAAACTTCAGACCCTGACCCCATGCGAGGCAGGTCCCCTTAGGTCCTTAGGTCCTCAGGTCCCCTTAGGTCAGGTCACCAGGTCACGCCAAGTGACCTCACCCCACAAAAAAATATGAATGCTCGTCATAGCTACACCGACTGAACGGTTGCCTTGAAACTTTCAGCGATTGATAAGAGCAATATTATCTACAAAATGTATATCTTGGAATTTTGATATCGGTGATCTAAGGTCAGGTCAATTTTGCGGCCTCTCCATTATAAGTCAATGGGAAAAAAAACTAAAAAGCGTCTGTTTTGCACGAACGCTATTCTAGACACTCTCGAACATCGAGATGTAGGTTAAATTGACGCCCTGAACCGGAAATGGCAACTGTGACCCCTTGTTATGTCCCCGAGGTCATCTCAGGTCACGAACAGAATCTAACCGTTTTTCTCTAATAACTTCTGATAGAGGCATGCTAGAGCGCTGAAAACGCCTTAGATGTGTTCGGCTCGACGTTGCGGATCGACTGGTATGCAACATGACCTTTTCCGGCCAGGTAATGACCTTGACCTGAGGTCAAATTTTCAAGTTGACCTTTCAAGGTCAAATTATAGTTCATTCGACGCGTCTCGACGACAGGAACACGGTGCTGGCAAAAGTTATGTCATGGCTTCCCTGAGTCAAAAGTTATTGCCAAAAAAAAAAAACGCTTTCCGTAAAAACGGCTATTTTTGGAGTTTTTGCCCTCTGGAGGCTAAACCGTTGACCTGAGGTCAAATCTGAGGACATTATCCAGAAAGGTCTGTAAAAGGGCCATCGAATGCGCTTTTCCGTGGCGCTGTAGCTCTACCGGTTCCCGAGATAGCCGTCGGCAGTTTCCAAAATGTTGAAATAGTCAACATTGGTGACCTCTGGTGACCTCTGGTGACCTGACATTAGACCTGACCTAAAAAAGACCGAAGTATTTTCGTCATGATTTTTGACGCCTTTTCGAATGATCGCGTGTCGATAAGGGCCCCAGGAGCTGAGTTAGACAGGGGGTGCTCTTGAGACACCCCCCCCCCGGCCCGGCGCGGTTGGTGTCGAACACCGGTCCAGCGTGGGTTAACCCTCGCCCGTAAACGGCGATCTGCCACCTTCGCCCATGCAGGGGGGGGGGGTTGGTGCGACCCCCCCCCCTTGGCGTTTGAAAACGGAGCGTCGTAGAGCTTAGCGGAAAAGACCAACGGATTGCTCTCGCCGAGATCTCGCGATTGGTGGTATATTTTTTGGTCCTAGGTCAACATTTGACCTACTTTTGACCGGTCAAAGGTCACATTTTCGGAAAAATAGACTTTTTTCAACTTTCCGCGGCGATTGCGGCAAAACGGTGGGAGATATCGACTTGAAACTTTCACTATCGTGTTCCTTGATCAATTCTCTATCGTTTGGTATGTATTTCGTTTCCCTAGCTCTAAAAATGGCGCGTTGGGAGCGCCGGAAGTCGGCAAGGTCACAGTCGGCGGCAGAAATTCGAAAAATCAAAATTTAAATTTTTGAAATCTGATTGTATTTTTGGATTTGGGAGGTCCATTTACTCCCTATAGAAGCTAATATTGCTGCATATTCCCATTGAGGTGACAAGAATTAGCAAAATAGTGGTTCGGGCGCTTTTCAAAAATAGTACCGGACGCTGTTCCTCTTGTGACGTCATAGCTCCGTGACCTGACCTGACCCGGTCAAGTTTCTTATACCATATGATAGCCAATACTTGCCCCAACATGCATGGGAAGTTTCATCACGATCCATCAACCGATGTCCGTACCACCGGCAGGAAACCTCGGGCGTTGGCACTCAGTTTGTGAAAATCCGGCCGGAGGCTGTTCCCTTTGTGACGTCATAACTCCGTGACCTGACATGACCCGGTCAAATTTTTTTTTATCAAAAGATGCGCAAGGTTTGCCCCATAAGGTACCCAAAATTTGGCGGCGCTGCGCGCCGCCGTTTTTGCACTATTTCCGAAAAACCTCAGGGGGGGGGGGGTTGCACCAACCCCCCCCCTACATGGGCGAGGGTTAAAGAATGCGGAGCGATTGAATGAGTTAATTTAGAATTACATACAGTGATTTTGTGATCAGTTGCGCTTCACATTTCAGCTGTCTGACGCCGGAAACTGGCCGTACTAAATTGTACTCACGAGTTTGTCGCTGACGAACACGAAACATGAGTGCACTTCCTTGTCGGCCTCCTTTGCGATAAAGCTGAAGAACTTCTTTTCCCCCTTGTCGTCAGCACAGTAAGATATTCGGTGTAGCGGATACTGGTATAGAATTTCCTGTAAAATATATGCACGTAATTAGCATGCTTGCCAATCGCTTAAACGTCATTATAAAAAAAAAAAAAATCAGCATAGAACCGGACAGGTCATGCCCACGTGGCTTTTACACTTGGAAATTCTAGGGTTACTATCGTGTGCATGAATATGCGCAATTGTACTTTGTATAGCTGGAATGTGCTGTGCGCACTCCAGCATACACAAGTCAGGTTACGCATGATTCATACATGAACAAAAGAAAACCAATTAAACTCATTTTTCACGAAGTAGTTTTTATGTGCGAACAGGGCATATAAGCAATGATCATCGGGGATCCGCCAGCTGAAAGAAGGTAAATAGAAACAGATACGATGGATTTACAGGGGGCCGACATTTCCCCTAATTCGTCGACGGGTCAAGTCACCTTGGTTTTGGGGTCCTGTATCGCTACACCATTGATGGAGATGGTGAGCTCTCGCTTCGGGAGCTTGGAGCACTCCGACTTCTTGATCTCCTGGCCGAACTGTAGTTTCCGGATGCCTTCCTTGACAACCTCGATGCCTTTGGGCTGATCGACCTCAGTTCGGCCCAGAAACTGGCAAAAGACGGAGGGGTGGGGTATAATTAGCAGATATACCATGAAACAAACATCCACAGGGCAGTGGATATGGCAGTTTAACATTGCCATGGACCATGGTAATAAATGGACCAAACAAAAACAGCGGGAACAAAAACAGAGGCCGTTAACATCATCGTCAGAGGTCATGATGTAACGGAAGACAGTGCCACTCGTCATCTCTGCACCATACGGCTAAAGAATAGTGAAACCTAACAACGCTAGCTTGAATCTTTCATTAAACCCATTTATAATGTTGTCTAAAAAATGGCAAGCTTTATGATGGGCAGACTGGCAGAAGCTAGCCAAACCAGGAGCAGCACAATATACCGAACACAATTTGGCTAGACACCATCGGTGAAATCACAAGATAACCGGCAGCAGCGCAAACATTTGGCGCTGCCAGACCCTGTCCATAAACAGCAGATGGTACCGCTCTGCCATCGCACTGCGGTGTCACCATACGCTGGCACGGCCTGGCACGTCTCCTGCAGCCGAAACGTCGGACCTCTCCGGCACGGCCTGGCACGGTTCCGGCGGAAGGCGCACCGCGGCATCCGGCAGCTAGAGCGGCATCCAACCGCGGTCGGAAGGCCGCGCGTTGACGCCACCCTGGCTGATAGCACGCGGAGCGAGGATGCTCGGCCGGCCAAGGTCACGGCGGCTGCGTCTCTGTGGTGTCGGCACGCGCGCGGATGGCACGGCCGCGTGCCGGGGCAGGGCCGCACCAGTCACCGCCACCGCCCACAGGCCAAACAAACGGCCCGGACACGGCCGCAGCCGGCGTGACGTAACGCTGCGGCCTGCGAGCTGACGCGGCCGGCCGGTGAAAGCTGCGGCACCGTCACACGGCACTCACCCGGGGCCGACGCACGGCACTCACCCCGCGCTGAACACGGCCCTCACCCAGGGCCGACACGGCACTCACCCGGTGCCGACACACGGCACCCCCCCCCCCCTCCCCCCTCCATCGCGCTGCACTGACACACGGCACTCATCGGGCCGACAAACGGCATTCCCGGCGCGCGCCAAGTTTGAAAGGGTTGAAAACCCTTACGGTGCAATGTAAGCCAGTAGCGGCTGATAAAACAGGGAAGTCCAGTCTGCGTCAACGCAGGCTTAAATGTTTTTCCACCAGACATGTGCATGGATCTGACTGATGGATCCATGATCCCAGTGGATCTCGAAGCAAACGACAAGTTAAGATCTATCTCAGGATTTGGCGACAAACCAAGAACAGGGATATATGATCCGAGTGGATCCCACCACATCCAACCAGTGAAGGTGGTTTCATGCCCATAAGTGCAACAAGACTTTGAACTGTGATGCATGATCACATTATATTCCCAAAACAGAACTATTGCAAATTGCAACAGGCGTTTATTGAGGATATCTGTGTCATCAAGAATTGAGAAAGGATTTATCTCATCGGATATCTAGACAAAACAGGTTCGGATCTACGATTCCAATGCATCTCTCGACAAATGATGCCGGATCTATGATCCATCGGGTCCGAGATCAAGATCCGTGGGATCAGATCAGTCATTTTCTGGAATCCGTGTACATGTCTGGTTTCCACACATAACGCCAAGTGTGGACACGTCACACTCCACTTTGGACCGGGAGCCTAGTCCCTTCGCACGGAGCGAGGGATCCCGCGGATCTCGCAAAAGGCACACCACGCCACGCCAAGGTTTGCCCCTCCACATGTTTCACCGTGCTATCGCACATAATGATCTTCGATAGCGCACGGGGTCTGGGCCAACACTGATCCTTCACTGATTCTCTGATAGAGTGCAGACCGCTGGGTAAACGGTTGACATAAAGATAGTTATTTGTTTAGACAGGGCCTCCCTCCCTCATTCCAATCAAAATTGGGATGGAAAACAATAGCCGCGTTTAGACAAGACACCACACGTAGGTATAAAAGAAAATGAGTAACGAATATGTGTGTGGGGGATGTGGGTATACCTACCTAGAATACACGTATACATACACGTATCTTCACATAGGCATGTCAGACCTTATTCAGCGAGGCCGGTGACTTGCTACTTCTCTGTACTAGCGACTGAGGCCCCAACCGCTTGTAGGTGGCATGTTCAGGAGGGGAAGGGAGCAGCCTCACCTTCACTAGGTAGGCGATGTGTCCAGTCTTCATGGCGTCCGCTGGGTGAACCCATGGCGCCTTGGTGTTGCTACCTGTGAACAATGCCAGAAAAGCAAAGGTGTCGCGTTTAGGTCGTCTGGAGAGGTCACCGCACAAAGTCATGGTGTGAAGAATTGATATATACGGAGATGAAGTCCAAGTGGTAGGTTGTAGGTTGGTAGGATGTAGGTTGGTAGGTTGGTAGGTTGTAGGGATGTAGGTTGGTAGCCGGTAGGTTGTTTAGTAGGTAAGTAGGTAAGCCTGGTAAGGTTAGGTCAGCTTTTTATCTACTTGGACTTCATCTTCACATTTTCAGGAGAATTTATGCCGATCGAAGCCCGCCATTCGTTGAAGGGAGTGATAAAGTTGATGCTCACGTTTCTGAAACTTTCATTAAAGGGACTATCCCACCTTTAACATGGGGTTTGAGTTGAGATAGCCAAGTTTGCGGCGAGGTTCAGAAACCACTATCTATCTCGGTTGCAACCCCCGCGGCCTCTTGGTGTTGAAGAAATTCGTGCCCTTCATTTGAAAATGGGCCTTGTACAAGGCCCTATCTTCAACATGGAGCGACCGTTAGTGTGACGTCACCTCGTTTAGTCATTCTGATTTAAATGGGTTTGTTCGTTGAAAAATCGCTTAAAACTTGGTCTGAACTTTGTTGTGGTGCCTACAGAGGAAAAAGAATCAGCTTTACGACAGTAATGTGGCCTGGGGAAGGAGGTAATTTTGGGCTGTGACGTCACATATTTGAAAGTTTGTGTTTGGAATATGGGAAGCCTAAGATGTTTAATGAAAAATAAATGCCAGAACCGTGTTCCTGGTCATCCAATCTATAAAGTCGGGCACAATTTAACTGGTTTTAACAACATTTTAGAAGGTGGGATAGTCCCTTTAAAGGAAGGGTGCCACCTTCCGAAATTTTTGTTCTATGAATCTATTTTACTTATTTGAATTTTTAGACGTGGTTAGCGCGTCCACAATATACAAAAAACCGAAACATTGCATTTAATACATTGGCCAAAAAAAAAAGATCGTTGTTTATATCACCACTACAACTCAAGGTCGTTTGATGTGGCAGCTAGGACGGCTGGCATATCCTGTTGTCATGGCAACATATCATCCTGCCATTTGCATTGATGGCGCAACTGAGACAAAAAGATGAACAAATAAAAAGGAAGAAGATAACATGATTTGAACTAAGTTGTAGGTAACCAAGTAGGTAACTGGAGGACTCGCCCGATCGCCGACCAACTCTACGTGGCGCATCTTAACATACGCTCCCTGAATCCCAGCCTGTTGGCGCTGCGTCATGACCTGGACACCCACGGACCGGACTTTTTATCAATTAATGAGACTTGGTTGAGACCATCACAGGACAGCCGGTACATACCGATACCTGGCTACCAGCTGTTCCGGCGGGACCGGCCCGGCTGTGGCGGGCGGCCGGCTGGCGGCGTGGCGGTTGCTGTGCGAGACGGACTGCGCGCTACAGAGGTGGCTGTCTCCGAGCGGCCGGTGCCCGGCTCGAAACTAGAGTCTTTGTGGCTGCGGGTGAGTGCCGGTAACCAGCAGATCTACTTCTGCTCTGTATACCGGCCGCCCCGTCCGACCACCGATGACGTCACGGCCGACCTGGACGACCTGCAGGAGCAGCTGGAGACGGTCAGCACGCGACACGGTGGGCTGATTTTCATTGCCGGCGACGTTAATATTGACATGGCCTCCGACTCTACTGCCAAGCGGAGATACTGTCAGCTGATGGATGCCTTCGCCCTGCGGCAGCATATCACCGGACCCACCTTCCGCAGCTCTGGCTCCACCATCGACGTCATCTGCAGCAACGGCACGCTGCAGCGGCAGGGCACGCTGCACTGTGACTACAGCGATCACAACTGGGCCCGCGCTACATTCAGTCTGACCGGACTCCGACCTAAACCGACCGTGGTGACAGCTCGCAGCTGGCGCCGTACTAACGCCGAGGAGCTGAACCGGCGGCTACAGACCATTGACTGGAGCCCGGTATTCCACAGCACGGATCCCGCCCAGCAGTGGGAGTACTTCCTCGGCGTGACACGGCCCGTGCTGGACGAGTTGGCACCCCTGAAACGGACCAAAGTGCGCAACCCGACCGCCCCGCCCGTGACCGAGGCCACCAAACAGCTGATGGCGGAGCGGCGCGCGGCGCTGCGGGATGGTGACCGCGACCACTACCGGCAGCTGAACCGGCGCGTGCAGGCTGCCATACGGCGGGACACCAGGGACGCTGTGCAGCGGCACATTCAAGAGCGCGGACGGGCCTCCCTGTGGAGGGGAGTGCAGCCTGTCATAGCTTCTAAGAGCGCTGGGAAGCCACCCATCACAGCCGAGCAGGTGGACGCCGACGCACTGAATCGGTATTTTGTCAATATCGGTGTGAACACGGCACGCACGGTAGACGACTCCGGACCCGAGCTGCCGGTTCGCCTGCCCCGAGTGTCGACTGGCTCGTTTACGGTTGCACCCATCACGCCTGAGTACCTGTTCTCCATTGTCGGGCGGATGAACGGTTCGTCTGCCTGCGGCGCCGATGGCTTGTGCATTCGTTTTATTAAAATGTGCCTTTTCTCACTGTACCATGTCTTGACTCACATTGTGAACACTAGCCTGGCTTCACATACTGTACCTGACTCGTGGAAACTTACGCTGGTCCATCCTATTCCCAAGGCATCAAAATCCGACGACTTTAGCAGCTACCGGCCTATCTCCATTCTCACCACTATTGGTAAAATCACCGAGCGCGTCGTCTCTGAACAGCTTTATTCCTATTTCTCTTCTCATCACCTCTTTTCTCCAAACCAGCACGGCTTCAGAACCAACCACTCCACGGACACTGCTCTACTCACCCTGACCGATCATGTTTTCCGGAGCATGGACCAGCGTGAAGTCACCGTTCTCTGTCTGTTGGACTGCTCGCGCTGCTTCGACTGCATCCCACACAGCTCGCTTCTGCGTAAGCTCGAGCTCTACGGTGTAGATACCCGCTGGTTCCGGAGTTACCTTGCCAATCATTATCAGCGTGTGCAGCTTCACTCTACCGGACCGTCTCGTGCTCACACGCTCTCACAGCCGCTACTAAACCCTATCGGTACCTACCAGGGTTCATCGCTCGGGCCATTGTTGCACAATGTGTATGCTAATGACCTGCCGCTCTACACCGACAACTCCACCGGCATCATCGCCTACGCGGACGACGTCCAACTGTACGTTTCCGGACAGCCGAGAGACATCGTTCAGCTGAAACGGTCACTGGAAGGCAGTCTATCAGTTCTGTCGAACTGGTATGGCAAGAACGGCCTCAAGTTAAACGCTGCCAAAACTCAGCTGATCGTCCTCGGCACGCCGGAGATGACTCGTCGTCTGCCTCCCATTACCATCAACTTCTGCGGCTCCACCATCACCAGCTCTGACACTGTCAAGAACCTGGGAGTATGGTTTGACAGTGACATGTCGTTTGTGACGCATACCAGTGACGTGGTGCGGCGGTGCACCGGTACCTTGTGTGGCCTGAGTCACAGTAGACACAGTCTCCCAGCGACAGTCATGGTAACGTTGGTGCAGGGGCTCGTCTTGTCGATTATTAGGTACTGTCTGTCCGTTTACGGTGCCAGCAATGTAACCCAGCGCAAACGACTTCAAAAGCTGGTTAGGTTTGCTGCACGAGTCGTCTCAGGCCGTAGGAAGTATGATCGGGTGAGCGATGTTATCAACGAACTCGGCTGGCTTAACACCGAGAGCTTGTTCAGGTACCAATCCATCGTGCTGGTGAACAAAATGTTGGCCACGTCAGAGCCGCAGCAGTTCGCCACCTGTCTAGTCACCCGGCAGAGTGTACACGGGCGGGATACCAGGTACAATGACATGCTTGTGACCCCCACTGTCAGGTCAGAGTCCGGACGTCGCCGTTTTCTGTACTCTGCGGTGTCAGGGTACAACGAGCTGCCGGCGGACCTGCGCGCTCTTAGTCAGGCTCGATTCAAGCCGGCACTGAGGGAGCATTTGTTTGACCGCGAGCGAGCCACTTAGCTGTCCTAGTTAGCACTCGTGATGAGGGTGAATGTGTGAATGATTGCGGTGACTGTTGTCATATCCCATTCGATTTGTATATGCACAACGACTTGGACATAGAATAGCCGTGTTTCCACGGACATGTCTGTAATGTGAAATAAATAAATAAATAAATAAATAAACTGTTGGCCATATTTGCCAACAGTTAAAGAACATCAAATAAGTCGAGTAAAGGTTTTTCCTTTACAATGCTTAAGAGATCTATGGAACCCTTCACCCTTCATGCAACTTACTAGAAAAACTTCCCAATTAAAATTTTAAAACTTAAGTGTATACCATAAAGAAAAAATATACCCTTTCAAAATGATAAAACATGCTTCAAACAGGGCCTCCTCTAAGGATTTTTCACTGGGTGGGCAAAATTTTCGCCACTTCCCCGCCCAAGCTGGCGGATCCAGCCACTTGTTTTGGGGTTCAACCAATTTCAAAACCTGTTACCGGGGGGGGGGGGGGGGGTGCGGGGATGAGACGAAATAAGCTGTGCCATTATTGGAAATAAGATGATAGTTAACGTTTGTCGTATGTTTTATGGTTAGCGATGCTCGAGCGATTCGTTCCAGATTACATGTACAGCCCTCAGCAGACTGCGTGGTAGGTATTCTTTTTCCGACAAAGCTGATTATAATTCAAAAGTCATGTTATCAGTCGGTCGAAGCTCACTGCAAATAGATGCGCCATGCTCCACTCCTTCGATAGGGCCTATCAATAAACAAAGCATACCTACGCCTTGTGTGGCAACAAAATGTTTAAGTTCGTTTTGGGGGCAAATATAAACTTTTGGGTTTTGTTGCCAAACTGGATGGAAAATGCATACGATGATAATGCCAATCTAAGCTGCGGAGTCTTGCGCATCTTTCTGTTACGATTTCCGAGTGCCCGATAGCATAGTATTCGCGTTATTCTCGGTTTTGTCGAAAAAAAGGATACCTACCACGCAGTCTGCAGAGGGCTGTACTTGCAGCCCTCCGCAAAAACTGCGTGGTAGGTATTCTTATTTCGACAAAACCGATACCTACCTAATATCTCAAAGGTTATGATTATCAGTCGGTCGGAACACATTGCATATAGATGCGCCATGCTCCACCCCTTCGATTAATTCAGTCACTGAACAATGTGTACTCTTACCGTAGCAAAAAAGCAAAAGTTTGTTTTGGGGGGAAATATAAACTCTTGTGTGTTGTTGTCAAACTAGATGGAAAATGTATACCAAAATAAGCCCAATCTAAGGTGCGGAGTCTCGCGCGTCTTGCTGTTACGATTTCCGAATGACCGTTAGCGCATTCGCGTTATTCTCGGTTTTGTCGAAAAAAGATACCTACCACGCAGCTTGCAGAGGGTTGTACCTTTATTGTACGTGCCGTTTCACTTACGAGACAATTACTTGATAACTCCAATATCGGCAGGGGCGTGGCCAAGGGGAGGGGCCACGGGGGCAATGGCCCCCTCCCTTGAGCGCAGAAGGCGCCATGGGGGCCCCACAGGCCCCGGGATATTTTTTTCTAACACTGGATAAAACGTATTTTACTCGGAAGCAAATTTATATCAGTTCAAGTTTCATTTCTGTGGCCCTGGTTACCCGAGGTGCCCCTGATTACCCAATGGGCCCCTGCACTCATCCGAGGACCCCCGGTTTCCTGGGGCCTCTGGTGGCCCAGGGGGCCCCTGGTCGCTTGGGGGGAGCTAGTCGCCTGGGGGCCCCTGGTCACCTGGGGTTCTGGTCGCCTGGGCCCCTGCCCCCTGGTCGTCTGAAAGAACGTTTGTCACCTGCAGTGGCATAGCCAATGAGGGGGCCAAAGGGACCATGGCCCCTCCTGGAAGCCAGGGGTCCTTATTCCATAGGGGCCCTTGACTGACACAGTGGGCCCTTGGCGACGCAAAGGCCCTGAGGCAGATCCTTTGACACAGCTGAGTAGTTATTCTTTGGCCAAGAGAGACCCAATTTTAGAGCCTTGGGGCCCTATTGAAACCAGGGGGCCAGTTGGATGGGATGGGTCCAACATGGGTCCAACGGTGTGTAAACAGAATCAATGCGTTCCGACTGTTGGTCTGACCCTATATCGGTTTGAGGGAGCTCGGATCGGATCCACTGTCGATTTGAGGGGCCCTTATCGGTTTGAGGAGGCCCTCAAAGACCTGAACGGGCCCTTAGTTTGTCTGAGAGGGCCCTACGTCGGCCTGACTGGGCCTCTGCAAGTGCAAGGGGCCTTTTGTCGGTCTGAGTGGCCCTAGACGGCTTATATGACCCTCAGACGGCTTACGAGGCTCTCATGGGCTATAGGGGCCTGTGACGGTCTGAAGAACCCTCATCCGACCTACGGGTCCTCAGACCGCCATCAGAACCGGCTGGCGACTCTATGAAGCTATTCGTGGGCCTGTCTAACAGGGGCCCATATACTGCTTACCCCCTCAGTTCTAACATTGTTTGTTAATGAATATTTTTTCCATTTATTTGGGCCCCATCAAAAAAAAATATTGGATGCAACCCGATGGCTTTTTGGATTTTGAGGGGGTTATCTTGCGCCCTTGTGCGTTTAGCCCCCTCCTTGAGGAAATCCTGGCTACGCTCCTGAATATCGAGCAACCAGAAAACTTTTTTTGACCTTCAAACAGCATCCAGTTTGCTTAAGACCGGAAAGGTAGTACCGGACGTCCGGCCGGACCTTTATTTTTGCATTTGCTTCTGGGTGGGCAAATCGACGCCACTGGGTGGGCAATTGTGGCGACTGGGTGGGCATTTGCCCACCCAGTGGGTATGTTAGAGGAGGCCCTGGCTTCAAAAGTATAACTTTTATACATACCTTTGCTGATTTCATGTTTTATAAAATACCCTTAACACGACGAGGAAATAGTGCTGAAGATTTTTGCCTGCCCGAATGCTGGCAGCAAAACTCGCAAATGATAACTTCACGTGCGGATTCAATGCTGACCGTCTCGAGCATAGGTAAGTGAAGCCGGTTTTTAGGTTCATGTGAGGCTAATCTTGTAAAAACTGCGTTGTGTCCAAAAGGTGGCACCCTTCCTTTAAGGATGTATTTCAAACTCCGCGAGGAACTGAACGGAATTTGACCGCTCCGGTGAGCCAAGGTCGGGCAGATGGGGTCGTCTTTGCGGTGTCAGCGCCGGCACCCACCCTGCGAGTTGGAGCGCTGCAGCAGTTTGTTGTTCTGCGTCCACCGCAGGATGGCCGAGTTCCTCATGGCGGCGTCCGTGCGGGGCCCTATTGTTCCGGCGGCCTGGGCGGCGCGGCGCGTGCAGAGCTGCTGTGACCGGCACGCGGCGCCCGGTCCGAGGGCGGCCTCCTTCGCTGCTGCTGCTGCTGCTGCTGCTGCTGCTGCTGCTGCTGCTGCTGGAGGGCCGACAGTCTCGCACCGTCCGCCGCCGGCTCACATCGTCCGCCGACGGCCTCTGAAAGAACATGGAATAACTGTCAGACAGTAGTCCAGATATCGACAATCCTAGACAAAAGGTTACATGGTTGAACAACTAGAAGACACAGAAAAGAAAGACCAGAACTAACACTTCTTACACATAAGAAGTGATGCATATATGGGGGCTTCTGCCCGATACGATTTTGAAGTAACACTATCATGTAGCGACGACCGTCTTAACAGAAACAAAATAGTTAAATATTTTCTTGGGTTTCCCATCTCAGTCAGCATTATTGAGGAGCATGTAGACTGCAGAGGCGAAGAACTTGGGTTCCGAAGGAGCTCGAGCATCCTGTCAGTGCCATGACACCCCCTTGAAGTTGAAGGCGGTTGACCGCCCCCCCCCCCCGAGATTCCGAGAAGGAAACAAGATAGGGACAAGCGGTAAACGGCATGGGGTATGCACGGACAAGGTCTACAATTTTACAAAGGTCATTTTCAGGTCAGGTCAACGATGACGTCACAGGGGTCAAAAAAGTCAAAATGGCTGCGCTAGATATGAGAAGGGTTATCCTCGAATAACTTTCGAAGTAGCCAAGCTAAGAACAAACTAAGGGCACCATCGTGATCCTCTCATCAATCCGCATCGAATGATATATGTGCCGACCTCGAGAAGAAAAGGTCAAAGGTTGACCTCAGGTCACGTGACCTCAAGGTCATCATGTACATCATCGATGCGCCTTGACAAGCTGAACACGATGAGACCATCTGCGTGGCTGTAGCTCGTTCCTGTGAGGAGTTATTAGCAAAAAAAAAAAACATTGGTGACCCTTGATGACGTCACATGACCTTACAGTTGCCCAAGAGCAAAAAAAGGCCTCAAGGTAGTCAAGTTGATCGTATCTGAAGTCATTCATGGTATATTGGGCCATTCCGACGCGTTTAGTGGAAAAAAAAAACAGGGAATTGATCCCCCCCCATTGACTTATAATGGGGAGGTCAAGAAATGACCTGACCTTAGGTCACCGATATCAAAATTCCGAGATAAACACATTGTAGCTACTAAGGACTTCGTTACATCCTGCGACTTTCAAAGGCCTCCGTCATTTACCGTAGCTCTGACACGGTGACAAAGTTGCCAAAAAGTGATTTGAGCTTGGGTCATTTGAAGTGACTGGTGACCTGACCTTGAAAGGTAGGAGGTTCAAACTTGCACACCATGTGTAAAATTGATGAGGGAAAAGTCATGCCAAGTTTCGCGGGGCTACGCGCCGCAGTTTTGCGCTATTCACGAAAAACCTCGGGGGGGGGGGGCGGTCAACCCCAGTCGGTGCGCGGGTGAAGAAAACGTTGAAAATTTGTGTGAAATTTCTTAACATTGAAACGTATTTAGTTACAAAACTTCCCTGAAAAAAAAATCGCCACCAAGATATTGACGCAACGGAAATTTGGTGGAGCGCCGGGTTCCCGTCAGTGAGAGCTCAGTCTAGAAACACTACAGTGCGCGATATACGAGACTCCGAAACTGCTGTAGGTATTCATGTTCTGCGGCTGTGGAAGCATCTGCAACACGTTAAAGTTGGCGAGCGGGACAGACCGCGCCCGAACCCATAGCTTTGATTTCTGTAATCCCTGAGCGTTAAATTATTTCAAGATCTTTCGTCCGTGCAGATTGCAAATGCTATGAATGAATGAGTAACGCGGGGGTTCACTAATCACCCCATTCGTTCAAAAACATGGACAAAAAAATGTTTAAACAAAACTAAAAACCAATGGCATTTGTGACTTCAAGTTACCGCCTACATCGTGGCAACTGGCAACACTAGCGACGCGCTGTCGATAATGAGGTTTTTGTGTCATAGGTCGATAAGCTTTGTGGGTATGTTACACGCTTTGGAAGATTTCGTTGCTCAGGGCCATTTCCCCATCCATGTCTTGCGTTTGTAGTTGGCTGATAAATGGGCAACTTCGAAAGCTATTATTGTGCAGGTAGGTTCTATTTTCCTTATAGTGTACACTGTGCATTCTTAAAAATGGAAACACCACAGTGGCTCAAAGATATAAAAAGGTTATAACGAGATTTTCATGTCCATTGGCGTGTGTCAGCCTACCTTGAATTTTTATCAGTACATGACTGTGCGATTCGTCAGGCTTTCCGGACCGGTCAGGCTAGTTTGGTGACGTCACAGGCCCTGGGAGGTCACGTGACCGTCGCATGCTCGGCGGACTGTGTCGGCGGCGGTGGCTGGCGGTGGGCGGCGCGCGGCGGTGGGCGGCTGTTCAGGGCCGGCGGGCACGGCACGGCCACCCCGCTGCCGCCAGGACCCACATCGGTACTGGGGCGCCACACAGGGTCGACACGCGCTGCCACAGGCCGGCACACATGGCCCGCTGGACCTACCGGAGGTCATTCCAGCTACTGGATACTGGATATACCAATGTTTGCGTTACAGTAGGCACCTACGACGTAAACGTCAGCCGGCCCCGTGAGGGGGTTCGCGGAGGGCCGAAGAGGGGGGAGAGGGGGGCAGCTCCCGGCGCGTGCCCCGCCATTCGCCGGGTCCGGTCTCCGGTGTCGGGTGTCGCCGCGCCGCCGGATGTGCGTAGTCCGAGAGTGGCGCAGGGAGCCCCCCCCCCCCCCCAGTCCGCAGCCGGCACTGCCCGGTCGCCCGACAGTCCACAGTCCGCGCGAGGAGCTGAGGGGGACGGTCAGCCGCCGACTGCGCAATGCGCTCCCTACGGACGGAAACTGAAACGGCCCTGTACCGGCGCGGAGTGCGCAAGAGCATTTCCGTACATGTCTGAGGCGAATGGCGGTCACAGCAGCATCCTGCACGCCTTCACGCGCGCCTTGGTGCTGCGAAAACTGATATATGTATTGCTGATCATCTTTCCGTTTAGATCTATCCTTGTCAAAATATGAATGTTCCTGTGACAGTAATACCGCAATGCATTGGTCCACCCTGGTCAGATCAGAAGGAAAATGTTCAAGTGACAAAAAAAGAGACGGTGGTTAAAAAAAAACCAAAATGCTATTAAATAATACAGCGTCATGCGTCAAATACAGGTTTAGCTACTGTTGATACTTGATATAGACTTTTGCCAGATATTGGGGGGGGGGGGGAATTGCCGAAGAATGGCCGGCGTAGCACTCGATAGCTGTTGCCGTGCTCGCTGCACCCATCGGCGACGCATACCGACTGGGACGGAACAGCTGTCTGAATATCTAGTAGGGCTTTGCATCTAATACATGATCTGATGACCTCGCGATAATATTTCGGCGACTCGAATGGCACGACGCAATGCAGCCTTGAGTCTTGACTGTTCAATGCACATCGAATGAAAGACATTTTGTGGCGGTAGAAGAAAGTAAATTTCAAAACGTAACGCCACGCCGCCTCCCGCCCCATCTCTCCCCTTTCTTTTTCCCCCAGTATGCATGCGTAAAATGGATAACGTAGATTGCGCGGCTCGAAATATGAATGAGTTAAACTTAAAATGAACTTTCTTCAAAATTTCCATCCTTCGTTTGTGAGAGCTCTCTATATAAAACTAACGCATTTTCGTTTGCAATCGCATCGTTACATCATATTCAAGTCGGTTGAAACCGTTCATGATGATTCAGAATGATTCTGAACATGCTAATCGACTTGGTACGAGCGAATATGACGTAATAGTACGACTGTTGATGAACTTTGGGGAGGTTCTACTACCACTGATTAATAAGCATTTTTAACTAGCTTTACTACTTCAAACTGGGTAGTGGACAGTGGTGACTGGTGAACAAGCTTATCTGTATCCGTTTATTGTGGATATACCCGGCTCGTCGGCCCGGTGGGTATACCCGGTGGGTCGGCCACCCACCGCCGGCGGGGAGAGGACGGGAGGGAGAGGGGGAGGGGAGGGGCGGCGGTCGCACCGTTAGCCGCTCCCGCTACCGGCGAGCGTCACGGGCCAAGGAGCGGCTCGGTGCCGCCGTCAGGAACCGCCCGCCGCCGCCGCCGCCGCCGCCGCCGTCAGCGGCTCGGTCCGTTCGGTCTACCGCGACACCTCACCACAGTCCACGTACTACCGCCGCTCGCCAGGTGCTCCCAGCGGCGTCCCGGTCAGTGCTGAGAGACACGGAACCAGAGGAAATGTCCAATGTCCCAATGTCCCAATGCCCATACTGACAGAGTGTCCCAGAGTTTTCAGAACGCAACGAGCCAAGGGGCGAACCTTAAACCCCACTGGATCTGAGCTAGAATGACGAACATTCTGGATTACTGGGTTGGCAGCATTGAAACTTGAAATGACACAGCACAGCAACTTGAAATGATATGCCTATTGCCTACACATTGTTTTATTTTGAGTGGACGCCGCCAAATTATCAAAGAACTGAGTGATCCGCTCCACACAGCAGGTACCTAAATGTAAAAAAAAATATTGATATTAACAATTAGGTTGGTCTTTTATCTTATCAAATATGTTTTGTAGCTTCTTAACCGGGAGGTTGCTGGAGGGAGTAGGGGCGGTAAACGCCCCCAGCCGAAAACTCGAGGACCAATAGGAGTAGCGAAACGCGCGAGGCGGCAAACGAAAGACGACGAGACGCTTTAAATAAGTACTTGAAAGTTTAAATTTCATACGTCGTTTTTGGTCGGAAACTCCGAAATCATGACGTCACTCAAACCTAGATATCTAAAAACTCTGGCTTTTTTTAATTTCGTCACAACAAACTTCAATGAATTGTCTACATGTAACCAAATTTGGCACGGCTGCGGCGTGTCGATTTGTTTTAGCTATAGCGCGGCGAAAAAAAAAGTTTAAAGGAAACAGTCCACTTTCCTGAAATCAGTATTTTGCTATTGATTTATGATTTTTTATGCTCAAAATAATCATGAAATAAAATAAAACCTTTTTGTAAAAACAATTATTTTCTATATTTTAATATAGGACGAACTATATTCTATGTAAAATAATGTTTGACGCGGAAGCTTATTACGCATTGACCAATCATATTGCGTAGCTCAAACCTACGCATACTGCATTGGCTGT